GCCCTCTGCCTCTCTCAGGTTCCAGCTTTGCATGATTTCCCCTTTTTCAGCCTTGCTTTCCAAAATGTCTAGCATATTTGATTTCAGTCAAGTCTGGACAAGACAAAGTCAGTGGTTTTCTGACTCCACGAGCGAAAAGCAAATGAAACATAAGAAATCAAATGAAACTTAAGATCCTGTTTGACAAAAACTACTCAGAGAGAGAAGAAAAATTATCAATGGGTACATAAGACAGCCACTTCAGCAACCTGTGTTGGTGAATCCTCATTTATGGAATCAGAGTAAGAAAGAAAATTGGACTTATGAGTGGCAGAACTCACAAAGATGAACAAACAAACTACATCCAAGCACTTACATTAACAAATATCTGCCTCGTTTGTGGGAATAAAATAACTCAGGTTGATATCAACACCTGAAGAATAAAACTTTATGCAAACTGTGGTATGTACATATTTGATGAAGAGTAAAGATGAGACCCCTACTTCCAAATAAGAAACCCCATAAATTTTGTTGTCTGTCATAGAAACAAATGAATACTTCGAGGAGTACGAGAGGAATAACTACATAAATTAACCATTTATTTCCCTGTACTGTCTTATTTTTCAGGTTTTAATTTCAGATATATATATAGGGAATAAAAAGAAAAAAGACATTTTCATTTGCTTAATTAACTGCCAGACCCTTTGGCAATTCAGTCCTTTCTATGGCACTGAAGTGAATATATTATTTCAAGTTTATGCAGAAACCTGAAATTTATCTTAAACCTCATGTGTCTTTAAGGTCAAATAACACTGAGGAATAAATGACTAATAACATTTTCATGTGTAACTTAGTCATTAAAGATGTAGTGCAAGCATGCTGCTCGCATAATCTCCCTCATTTTCCTTTTATTTTTCCTGCATCTTCTTCAAAGTGATAGTAGATAAAATAACATCAATACTCTAAAAGTTACAGTATGAGTATCAAGATATTATTTTCAAGTGAAACAGCTTTAAACTTATTGCAGGTCTTAATTTCTACAGGAAACAACAGTTTGTTTGTTTGTTTTTTCTCCCCACAGGAAAGTCTAAATACTTTAAATTACCATATTTTTAATGTCTGACATGTTGATGGTCAGATGTTCTTTGATGCTCAAAGATAGATTGGCAGAAATCAGAGCAGTGTAGGGGCTTATAAAAATGTGGTATTTACATTTGGCAGCAATTACTTTGTGAAAAACACAAGGTGACTCTTTTTCTGCTCCTTCTTTCTTCTTTTTTATATTTTTCTCCTCCGAGTTTGGCATGAATCAAAAGAGCTAAAAACTAATTTAACATGACAAATGCTTTCATCACTCCCTTAACCTCTGAAGTGAACACTCTGACAAAGACAATATGTGTGGTATATGCTTTCCTTTTGACACTTTATAAATTACTTTCTTGTAACTGGGTTTTACCACCAGCCCAATATCTTCAGGATGTCCTAATTTGAATGGCTGCTTCTACATTCTTCATATGTCACCTCTGGATAATAGGAATAACTCCTGGGCTTTGTGAAATGGCACAAGTCTCAGAGAGGATTGTGGAACAATTTTATTTCCATCCTGCATGCTGGAATTTACCAAAAAGGTTGTGCAATTCTAGCAACTAATACTCTGCATTTCACTCACATCTGGCTACTGAAGAAACAGGGAGAAGTGATAAATCTGGCTTTAAATACACAGACAACTTGTGTATACCACGTGAAGGGAAAGTTAACTGAAGTGGTTTTATTCTATTCTCTGCTATTAAAAGCAGTATAGCAGTCAGCCATAGAAACACCTTAAAATGCTCTTTTTCATACCTGATTTTTTTTCCCCTCTGTCCATTCCTTTAACCAAAAAAAACCCCAAAGTCACTTGATTTATTTTCAACCTGGTATATCTGATCTGTGTCGCATTTCTGCAGAAACCCTGCCAGTGTAAAGGAATCCAAATACAGAACAGGATGTCTAAGATGGCAAAACACACACAGAACCAAGGATATTCTGCACAAACAGATGCCTTCTGACAGTGAACCAGTGCAACCTGCAGGAATTTCTCCCAGACATTAGACAGGACAGCTTTCAAAGCAAGATTTAGGAAAACTCAGATAACAGTGGTACTGGCTGGCCCATAAAGCAGGAATCTATCTAAATAGCTAAACTTCAATGACAATATTATGATCTAAACAATCAATCTATATGTATCTTAAAAAAGAAAAATAAAACCCAAAGTTACCTTCTAACAAGGCATATTGCCATTATTTTGACAAATGCTTACTTCTTAAAATCTCAGTGGTATCTTTATTTAACATCAATTATGTAGTGCAACAAAAACTTCCAAAGGTTATTTACACACTATGATTTTGTTTTGAAAGCTTTAAACATACTGCCTTTTCATTTCATTCATTGTACTTTTACTGGTGTGTTAGTGGAAAGGCAATAAGAATGCCTAATATTTTTTTCAATATTTATTATTTTCTATCTGTTATGAGATTTATTTTTTTTTTTTTGCTTCTCTCTATAAATCTCCCTCACTAGGAATTTTTTCACGCCCCCCATAATCTTTGGCAGTCCTCTGAAAGTCCTATGTTTAAACGTGAAGACATCATGTTTTTAATGACTTATCCATATCAATTATCCCATTTCTTTTATGACAGTACAATCCACTTATAAATCCTGAAGCCTATGAGAACTTCAATGTACTCTTTCAAAAGAATTACCTCGTATTTGCCATCACTGCCTTTTTCATTTAGTCCTGCAACAACCTAAGGAGCAGAATCATCCTCTGCAACCTTTGATGACTTTTTCCATACCTATTACTTTGAGGTAATGTAACCCCAGTGATACAACCTCTGCTATGGTGGAGAGCAAGAAATTTTCTCTGTGGACAAGTACACCAGAAAAACATTACCAGCACCTTTAATGCCTCTCCTTTTTTCAAATAAGGACATGATTTAGCACCTTAAGTCATAGTGCTGGAGGACAGCAAGGATTACTTTAGAGCTGATGGTCTTACACCTGCTCTTTGTCATGTGGAATGAATTGTATGAGTTTTTGCTGAGAGTGAGGGAATTAATTTAATAAATGGCCTAACTAAAGCACGTCCCTTTTACCTAAGGCTATGCAACTGCTTTTTTGTTTTTTTTTTCTTTTTTCTCTTTTCCATCACTTTAAATTATGATCACGGTGGATCCATCAAATTTATTCAGAGGATTAATTTCAGCTATTTTCTGGTTTTGACATATACTTATTCTTTCCTGTGTATGGCATGAAGCTTGTCAGGTAACTTCTCATTATTTAATCCTTGAGCCAACACTCTTTTCCTAAACCCTGCTTTGTTGTGTTCACTACCAACTCTATTGTGCTCATCATTCTTTCAACAGAAGACCTCAAAAACTTCTGTCAAAATAGATCACTTATATCATTATCCTGATATGATACATCATTCCTCAATTATTAAGAGTCCATATATTGCTGTATGTTCTCTCTTGTCTTATATATGAAAGTGTATAAAGCAATAACCACGTTGAAAAGCTTTGATTTGGATTACAGTAACCTAAATACCAAGGAAAAATACATTTCATAATCCATCACTTCAAAGTTATGCACATGATTAAAATGTTCAACTTGCAGAATATCATTTCCCATGTGCATAATCACTCAAACAGGGAGCTGTTGTATGATAACTGTCAAGTTCAATGAATCATGTGCTTTCCAATCTTTTCATTTATGTATCAGACTAAGCTTGTTATTCTTCTGAGGCTTTCTACAGAAGAAATACAGAAAGATGGTTAGCCCTGCAGTACTGAGTATGTTGGGATGTAGGCCTGGACTAAACAGGCAGCAGCAATAAAGTAGTCAGCTCTTACTATTGTATATATTAATTACATATAGAAGCTCAGTAGTAAGAAAAATGGGGTTTTCTAAGAAAACAGTGTCTATCCTGAAGGGTCAAATTATATGGGATCAAAAAAAAACAAAAAAAAGAAAAAGAACAGAGAGAAAATTCAATACATCTTTAGAGGTCTTTTGAGTGCTATATATGAGTATAGTTTCAGAGATGAAATAAAACCCGCACAGAGCAGGTCTGGAAAGTATTAACAGAAAATATCATCAAGCTACCATAATTTTGTCATTTACTCAGAGAAGAGAGTTTGTGCAGCATGTCACTGTCATCAATGTATTGTTGAAGGCACTGGAAAAGGTACAAAACACACAGCTAGTTTGTGTAGACACTTAGAAAAACCTCTACAACAGAGAATGAGGGGGATGTCGGGGGAGGAAATCAGAAACAGTTAAATTAAAAAAGACAAAATATCAGAAGCACGTTAAAAAAAAAAATCTCAAAATACCACAGAAAGAATTAGAACTTGATACCATCACTACTAATATATTAATCATGGGAAATAAGCACAATATTTAGAGTTTCTATATTTTTCCTTACAAAACTAAGGATGTGTGGAATATGGAAAATAACAGCACACAAAATGGAACTATCTAATGATTCAGATCTAAAACCCCGGGATTTAGGCACACAGACCAATATAGACAGAGAGCTACTAATCAGAATGATTTTGTGGTTTTTATCTAAAGGCAGCATGTGATGGTAATATCTGAATTCAAATGCCACTGTTACTTATGAGGGTTCACTGACTACCACAATGCTTTCCAAATATTTTTTAAACGTATGGTAGCACATCAAGAAGCCATAAATCACTCTGTTTGGACCATCTATGAGAGGTGCATATCTGTCACCTAAAGTTAACACTGCACATTAAGAATCCTGAATTGAAGTGGAAGAATTCTTGTTTCCAGTGCTCTTATGACAGTGAACACGACTCGACCATTTTATTTTTTCCTCATTAATCACTATAAGGAATAATAATATTCTTTGCTCATTGAGAGCACAAATCTGTGAAACACATTAACTGCCCTTTTACCTGCTGAACTTTCACTTGCTGACACAGCCATGGGATTTGACAGAGAAAACACAGCCTTACCTATGAAATAGGCCAGCAGGATGGCAAGCAGGACTGCAGCAGCAATTGCAGACAAAGCAGCGCATTTCCAGCTGCAATACTTGGAGGGTTTTTTCAGCTTGAACGCATTCCTGGAGAATGTATTTCTGGGTAACAGTCTGGGAGGTGGAGTATAAACCGTTCCTGAGGTCAGCGGGTAACCGGGGGAAGAGCTGCTGAACAGCGGAGTGGTTCCAGAAGAGGTCTTAAACAAGAAATGCCTGCAAAACATAAAATGGAACACAGTTGAAAATGGCAAGTCCTGTAGTTAAGAAAGAACATCTCCTACTCCTGTTCCACTCCAGGTGCCATAGCCTGTTGAATTTAACTGGAAAGGATTTTGTATGAAGAAACAGAGATGAAAATTCTCGTAGCCTTTCTGCTCCCAGAGCTTAACAACTGGCACTACAACACAGTGTCAGGATATCTTTCTTATTCCTTTCTGTAATCAGGTGCAACTTGACCACATACTAGGCTAAAACACAGCATGACCAGTGAAGTGTCTGTGAGTTCCCTGTGGAATCCACCACCCAACAAACATTCTAGGAAAACATTACGAGTCTCATTTACACTTTTGGCAAAAGCCACCAGCAAAAACACACTGAGCAAAACCCACAGTCCTGTAAGAAAAGATCTTGCCAGAATTAGAATGAACCATGATTTTTTTTTTTTTTAACAGTACACAGGTTTTGTTTGAACAACTAAGAAAATCACGTGACCGAGGAGAAAAAAAGAGGACTCAACTGACCGTACATTTGTTAAGAAGAAAATAAAGGACAGAATATACTCCCTAACAAAATCTCAGGAACTGCTGTCAACACATTCCAGACAGAGGAAATGGAGAAAACAAACTGTAAGACTGGTTTCTTTAGATTAACTTCTCACAGTCAGGCAGAACTAACTACAAGTACGTTCTCAGTAAACAATAAAAAGAGAAGCACAGAACAAGGGCAGTGGTCTTCAAGAAGGCCACTTGGTTTAAGACAGAAAAGATCTGAAGATTTATTCCATTCCCTCTTCCTTCACAGCTCTGAAAAACAAGTGCTTCTTGGAATCAGTCAGAACGAAGACACTCAGTAATCTCCAAACTCAAAATCACAGCCTAAAATAACCCAAGTCTTACTTCAAATGTAAAATATGTTTAACATTTTTATTCAGATACAACCCAGTATGTCGCTCTCAAACCACCTGTTAGAGCTTTAAAATCCATGTCAGTCACTGTTTATTACAGCAACAATTTGGAAGTTTGAAGCTGAAATGTGTTTCCCAAGTACTTTTTCCAGCCCACAATCATGCGTGTGCCTACTGTCAAGCACAGATTAGTGCATACTTATTTTGCAGAATAGCAGAAGTGATTTTAAAGTATATTAAAGCATTTATTTTGAAATGAAACCCAGAGTATAATAAATTTCACAGAACTTGCATACAGGTAGAAGACAGTAAAAGGAAGGCTGGCCAGGTTTCACAGTTTATAATTAAACATTCCCATTTGAAGACAGCCTCTGAAAGTATAGTCTTTTCTTTAATGAATTAATTAATAAACTCTATTAATGAACAAGAAAATAATTTAGTTTGACACTGCCTTTGTTAATATTGATTTTTAAACTCCAAGTGACCTTGTACATCCTTTAGAACAGTAACCAAAACCTAGTTTTTTTCAAAAAAATATTTCAGTCACCAAAGACAATGGCAGTATCCACTGTCCTAACTTTTCCCTTGTGCTTTGGAGACTTCAGACACACAACTATGCAATCAAACTCAGGCAGATTAATACTAACCAGTTACTTAATAGAAACATTGTATCTTTTTTTTTTTTTTTTAACAAATAAGGCTGCCTTTTTTGTCCTTGTCCCCGAGGTTCATGAGAGGTTAGAATTGCTTCTTTTCTGCACATCGTACATGATCTGTGAGAAAACACAGTCAAAGCAAAAGCCAAAAGGGTTCCCACTCAAAATTACCCAGCCTTTTAAATTAAAAAACACACCTTCCAGTTACACAAAAGCAACAAATAATGAAAGTCTGATTTCTTGAACACTTCGTTTTAAATGTTTCTTTACTTTGCAACAGTTCAATTAAAATAACTTGGGAAAATGATGTTATCTTGCTGGTTGTGTCACAGTGGATCTATTGACTATTCTGTTCCTTCTGTCTGGTTAAAACCTGACTAGCACCCGGCAGCAGAAGCAGGTTTGGTCCATTCTGCTTTGCTCTTCTGAGTTTGGAGCACAAGATCATTTCCATGACTGGACCCAGGGATTGAAGGGACATGGAGCATGAGGAAGGAGGGAAGGACAGAAGAAGGAGAGACCTGGTGAGACAAAGGTTTATGGATTTTATTCATTTAACCTCATCCAGGTCAAACCTGCATCTGCCTCAGCCCAAGATCCCCTTCTCCTCCTGAATCCTCATGGCACGAGTGGCATTCTCATGTTGGGACCTCAGGGTCTACAACAGTTCTTATGCTTTTCCTGCCCAAAAGCAGATCTCATAGAATAAAACTGGAAATTGCTGTCCTTGGAACTGTCTTTATCTGAAATGTCAAGGTTTATAAACCCAGGAATTTCATGTCCCCTTTAGCTGAGAAGGCAGCTACAGTACCAATGGAAATTTTAATATAAAGCATTGTTAAAGTAAACTCAGATATATAATGAAACTCTGCTCCCATTAAAATTGAATTAATGAATATCTAGATATGCTTTAATAGAACATGTCAATCATATACTGTTTCATATGAGAAGACAAAAAAAAATGTAGAACAAAAAAATAGTTCCACCATGACCCACACTGAGATACATTAAGTATATAAAGAAAATCAAAACACTTATCCATACAAACATGATCTTTATGATACTGTTAAAACTAATCAGAACTTGGTAGAGTAAAAAAGGCTGACTGAAAAGGATACAAGGAACAGTGCCATTCTCAAAGCAAAGAAGAAAAAAAATGTCATTGGAAAAATCTTGAATTTTTTCATGCCCCTGAGTCCTACCCATGTATTTTGAAAGTTGAAAGTTCCCTGACTCCCTATGAGGACTCCTGACAAAGTGGCAGCCATCAGAAACAGAACAATATCTGCAAGTACACAAGTTCTGCTTTCAGAAGTTTAAAAAAGACATTTAACTAAAGATGTGTTAAATATCCACCAAGCCACTCTGGAAAAGTTACACTGCATCCCGAAGCTGGAGGCCAGATTAGCAGATACACCTTAAATTATAGCAAAGCAGAACAGAAAGACTGAGAACACAATGGACAAAACACTTGGACCCCCGGAGTTTTAAATCTAGATTCAGCTACTAATGGAAATAAATTGACTTGTCTCAACTCTATCCCTAAACCCAATGATCTATAGCCATATTTTTATGTGAGATTTGACATGCTCTGGTACAACCAATTGTCTGTGGGCTGAAGCTGCACAGAGAGAACATGAGCATTTATCAACATTAATTACAGCCTCACAGCAGTAAGGCTGGGAGCATCGTACAACGTCTGCTTATGAAAAGAAATGATCTGATTTGTACCAGTTCACTTAATTTCAAATACATTCCATATAAGAATTAAAAAACTCTATTCTCTGTTTTACCTGTTCACCCATCAAACACGATTAAGAAAAACACATTTTCTGCCTCACAATTAGCATTAGTAATTTGAATTAAACTGGGACTAATTCTCTCTTTTGAAAACATGAGGGTAAATTTGCTAAGTCTCAGCCCAGTCTCCCTAATTTCTGCGGATCAACAAGACAATCCTATACTGAAAAAACACCAAATATGATTGTCAGCATGCAGTGATTTGGTAATTCAAGTGTCCTTGAAAAGCCACGGAAGGAGCCTGGGTGCTGCTCACAGAACACAAGTGAAGCCTGCAGCTCGCTCCGTGGGCTCTGGGGTGCAGGATGAACCCCCTTTGTTTTCAGCAGTGTGAGGGTCACACAGGGGCACCTCATCACTGACATCAGCAGAAAGGTGACATCTCTGAAAGTTGAGGTTGCAAGGGGACATTTGTCCACCGTTCTGTGCACTAATGGTAAATGGAAAAAGCTATATTTTGCTTTCTTCATTAATTCAGAGCTCGCTCTAGCATTTATTTTCCCACAGGTCAAAAGGACCTCTGGTGCTCAGGGAATAGTGGTCTGACAGAGACTGTATTAACTTCCATATTCTTTGAGAGAACAATCTTTTTTTCCCCTCTTTTCTGGCCAGATTGTCATGGCAGCACACTGCAAGAATGAGTGGAGAAAAAAAAAAGGGGGTTGTGATGAAAAACTGTAATAGAAAGGAAGAACAAGACACTTTCTAACATAAATTGCTTCTTTCCCTCCTCATACTATCCTAAAATTATTCTGTATTAAAAAAAAAAAGACATACAGAGAACTGTAATGCTTAAATTGTCTCTTTTTTTTATGGCTTTTATAGGGTTTTCATAGTAATTAATAAATAGAAAAGCTACATGCCAAGATAATAGAAACAGTTCAGTTCAGTTGTTCCAGGACTTAAAAATATCTTCAAGCTGTGGTAAAATCACACCTGTCTATAATTTTATTGGACATTTATTCTTAGAAGAAAAGAAACAATGGAATATAGAACATAACATGCTGGCTTTCATTGGGAGAAAAAAAAAATCTTCAGGCTTCAAAGTCCTCCAAAAAAGTAGCCATGAGTCATTTTATGTCAATGGAAGCCTCAGAGTGGCTGCCAAATTCAGACAGTGAAGTTTTATGATAGTTTTCTACCCTCCATACAAAAATAAACCCAGACTAAAGAAAACTGTATAAGCTGTTGTTATGCCTGTCATGCAAAAATGAACTCTGAGTGGTAGACTGGTGCAATCTTTGGTTACCTGTGTCTCAGTCTTTCTCCAAATGAGATTTAATTGCATGTTCCTGCACAAAACATGGGTCCATCAGTCAGGTTTCCACAGCTGAGGGTTCTCTGGTGTGGTATAACTGCACAGAAGTTTCTACCCTTTCTGCTGCCCAGAACACAGGGACTTGGGTGTCCTCCCAAAAGCTCTAAAGTTAGCAGTAAAAGTTAAAACGTTATCTTTATATGTCTAAACTGTATAGTTACAAGGAATTGTCTCAATCACGTCAAATCTACAGATTAAGCTCAGTAAAACAGATTTTTCAGTGGAAAGCTATTTAAAATACAGACACACATAAACCAACTGGCCATTTTATACACACTGTGCACCCCCACACCCAAATGGTTGTTGCAAACAGAGC